CGTACTCCTTTTTATTGTAATGTACTTAGGGTTGCCAGATTTTTTGGCGCGAAATCAGTGCATTCGACTTTTTCATGCTATAAAAATCTGTACTTTTCAGTACACTTTTATTCCCAGCAGAATTATGAATGTACTTAAGTAGGAGATAATACTTTGAAACGCCAGAGTACTTGTTTTTAATAATATCTTGGTATGGGTAAGGCTTCCTCAAGTGAGCCCCGAATTTACCAAGATTATACAATTATTTACCAAGAAAAGCAAAAATAAATAAATTTGTACTGCAAATAATTTCAATGTATAGTTTAATGTTTTTAAATCTGCACCCAAAAAACTTTGTTCATTCGGACAATTACTTTCAAAGAAAAATAAAAATTTCCAAAACACTGCAAAAATGTTCAATTGTTGATTAAAAACAAACTATTTGGAATTTTGCAGGCGCTGCCTGAATATCATTGAAAAACATTAATCTTGGTAAATTCGGGGCCCACTTGTGGAAGCCCTACCCGTTTATAGTTATATAAAATGTTGTTCATAAAAAATAAAAATTTTATTCATTTTAAAATGAGTATACACATTAACATGTAGTACGAGATACCTTTATAATATTACAGGAGCCAATAAATTATTTTATATACATGACATTTTTTAATAGCAATAATGAGATAATTTCCACTTCCAGTGGTTAAATAATCAAAGAACTCCAAACATTATATATATTTTAACATTACTTTTAATTTGAAGTTCACTTTCCAAAATTTTAATTAGAAGTCGGTTTCTCTCTTTTCGCCAGGAAGTAAACTTTATATTTAAGTTAGTTCCTCTCAGGTGCTTCGGGTGAACGTGGTATTGAAAAAGCAAGATTACATATTTATTCAAATTGTGGAAAGAGACCTCTATTTAAGGACCGCATCCGTATTTCCTCATGGCTTAAATCATTTTTTCAACTGCGCAAAAACTTTGAAAGACTAATGGCTGGTTTCTCCAACTCAACTTAACTTAGTTTAGCCACTTTTTGGACTTAAGTCAAAAGTTAGCCTACGTTTTACACAGCTTATTCTTGACTAAGTCAAGAAAATTTACTTAACTAAGTTAAGTTGAGTTGGACAAACCAGCCCTAAGAATTCGCCAAAAAGAGTATCTAAATTGAATCAGTAAATTGAGAAAAACGAATTGTAAGTTGTAGGCAAAGCCATTCAATTATTCAAATTTGTTGGTTTAAACTGAAAGTTATTTTCGAGATAACTAACAACACTCGACAAAAAATGTCAGCCCTCTGGTAGATAATGACCCGCAATATGCCCATAAAACGACTGCTCTTTTATATTAATTTCTTGCGCATATCAAATATTACCGAAAACAAGTCAGTATTACCGAAAACAAATAGTAAATTTTAAAAAAGTTGCAAAGTTATGTAAAAATCGTAAGCAAATCGTAATGTATTTTGTTTGTGTAAAATATTTAATATTACACAAACAAAATATGTTCATGGGCAAAAATTACCGATCACTGAGTTACCGTGTACCAAGCTCGGTGGGAAGAACTCTATTACAAATTTGATTGCTCAGAATTGAAAAATCAGTACAAATTTAAAAAAATCACTACATTAGCGTACTGATTGAAGGAATGAATAAAATCAGTAAGAAAGTTGAAAAATCAGTACTGTACTGATAAAATCAGTACGTCTGGCAACCGTAAATGTACTCCCATGTACTCCCAAAAAAAATATATGGAAATGTACTCCTTTATTAGTTTTGTACTTCTTTTGTTCTCCTTTTCCCAGCCATTAATATTTTATCATATACAGGGTGTAAAATAATAACTTTCGCACAGTTTCTTTTTTTGTTTTTAATAAAAGGGACCTTTATAGATTTTGCGAAAATTGTATTAACTCGTTTTTAAATTTTAGCCTTCATTTGGGTTTACCAGCGGGTTCGGGAGAAAAGCGCAAGCGGCACGAAAGTCTTCGTCGGTTACTTTATTACAGATCTTCTGTAAATAGGTATAGGCTAATTTCCCCCATTTGGGTCCTTTATACTCCTTTACTTTATGCATAAGGCCTCATACTCAGCAAACGAAACGACTCCGAACCGGTGACGGGCATTCATACGACCAAAAAGGTGTCATTCTTTTTAATTCTTTCCATTTAGCATTAAAATTAGAAAAGCATTCCTAAACCAAAAGACCAAGGCCAAAGTGAGATAAACCAGTTGCATAAAATAAATAAATAAAAAAAATTTTAGTTGAAGAAAGTACACGCAAAATATTTCACAAAAATTTATTGAAATATTACCATTTTTCAAAAGTGCCATTTTGGCACTTTGTGCCAAATAAAAACGTTTAGTGCCATTTGAAATAAAATAGGGCCAAAAATGGCACGGTTTTAGCCAAGTTGGCAGCCCTGTATGGCACTCTTCATCATGTCAGCTGTTCCTGTTTGGGCGGTAGTATCCCTGCAGGAAATGTATCTCACTATAAGTTTACTTGAAATTAATTAGGAAGGAACTGAAGGCCACTATTATCTGTATATTTTCTTTGAGGAAAGCTTACTATATTTCTGTGGCGATGGCCACGAAATAGTCAAGGGTGGTTGCATCTGCATTAGATGTTAACTAACTTGTAGCTAACTTTTTTGGACATAAAATATCAATAATAAAAACAATACTTTTTTACTTGTTTATTTATTTTCTTTGTTTAACATTACATATTTGTTTACATATTCTGCTGTAGGTGGTCCAATATTAGAATTACGTCAGACTTCGAAATGATAATAAAAAATTTCGATATTAATTTTATTTGTCCTGAATTTGAAAAAGTGTTTGTGAAGTGCAGAAAAAAAGTGTATTCGTAGTGAAATTTGTTCGATGATATTTAAATAGAAACTTGTTTAAAAGAAGCAATCTCCCGATTTCGTCTGCATTACTCTTGCATTACTTTTCAACTAGTTAACTTGAAACTTTTGTAGCCAACTACAAGTTATATATTTCATAGAAATCCCGCAAAAAAGTTAACTACAAGTGGGTTACTTTTTATCAATTGGTAATTTTTATTTCAGGGATTCAACCACCTCTTCCATAGAAGCACGAAGATAATGGTAGATGGATTTATTCTGCCCATTAGTATCCGGTCGATGAAGAGTTTCTTCTTTGAGTAGGAGTGAGAGTCGATTGCGAATTTTCTGTCTGGGGCTGTCTGTCGTGACTGCAGCTTCTCACGTTCTGACGCACGTTCTACATAGCACAGAGGGGCATGCGGACCTTGGCTGCAAAAGGTATTACCCCTAGGCGATGTTGGCTCTTCGGATGGAACGCACATCAAGAACGCTCGAAGCGTCCATGACAATAACATGATCCACCAAAGGTATTATCTCTTATCGTTTCTTTTCAGTGATATCCAAATTTGCTAAGCCCAAAACAGAAAATGTGACAAGTCCCAAAGAATACAAAAACTTTTGATTAGAAATCTATATCTAAGGTGACACATTTAGGGCTGGTTCGGAACGATCGAAACCGGGACGCAGCGGGGGGCAATCGAAACTTCGTAGGACATCTCAATGTTGAATTCGCCAGTTGCTAGCATGCAAAAGAGAACGCCGAGCCAGTTCGGCAATAGTACGTATCCCCACAGGGATATGAATATCTACATACATATGTCTTATTAGACAATACTAATTCAATTGCATTTTTTCGGTAATTCGTCGCTCGAAAAAACTTAAATTAATTTGATAATGGTAAAGTTTTTGAAGAAATACGCGATGTGCTTCTTTTTATACCCGAGCGCACTTGTGTACAAGGGTATTATAACTTGATTCACATAACGGTTTTTTGTAACAGGCAAAACGAATCGAGATAAATATAGACATAAATGTATACATAAATAATCAGAATGAAAAGAGAAATCGATTAAGCGGTGCCTGTCTGTCCGTCCGTCCGCCTGTGCACACGATAACTCGAGTAAAAATTGAGATATCTTAACAAAACTTAGTACGTGAATTTCTTTCGGGCGTAGGACGGATGGTATTGAAAACGGACAACAACCACGCCTACCTCCCATATAACGATAGTTTTCAGAAGTACGAAAACTGCAATTTTTTAGTAACTACTGAAGATTATTCACTCAAAATTGATATCTGCAAAGATTTTTAGAAGGAAAATAAGAATATTAAAAATTTTTGGAAAATGGGCGTAGCCACGCTCACTTATGGTTACATGTGTATATCTTGGTAACCGCTGCACCAATTTCTTCCAACTTGGCACAGTTGTTGACCTTGGTACAGCATACCAAATGGCCGAAAATTTAAAAAATCGGACAATAACCACGCCCATTCTACATAACGGTAATTTAGAGAAATACGAAATCTCCGATAAATCAGTAAATATTACAGCTAATTTATTCAAAATTGATACTTGCAACAATTCTTAACCAAGAAATACGTTTATGATAAAATTTTGGAAAATGGGCGTGGCACCGCCCACTTATGATCACATATATGTATCTCGGTAACCGTTCTACCAGTTTGTACCAAACTCGGTATGGTTATTGTGCTTGCCTCATAAAGGCGAAATGTTGAAAAATATTGAAATCGGACTAAAATAACGGCCGCTTTTCATATAACGGTGAATTTCAGATATGCTTCAAACTTCAATATGTCGAAATTTAAGGACTCTCGTTTACTCAAAATTGATACACCCCGGCTTACCATGAAGCGGTAGCTTTCTGAAAGGTAAAAGCATGGTACAAAAAAGAAGGTAGTTTCAATGTCAATTTTCGGTCGCCATATTAACTACCTGACAATTAAGTGGATTGTGACATTTCATGCTACCATACTCAGAGACAAAAATCCTTTTTTTATGTCATTTTTTATGAAAATAAACAAAATATTTTGATTTGAAAATAAATTTTGTGAGAAACGAATTGCCTTTAGGAATCTAAATAATATTTGATACGTTAGCAAGCAAATAAAATAAAATAGAAACAAAATGAGCTGCATGTTTTCTAGATGCACAAATACGAAATATATTTGCAAGGGCATGGAAATAAGGTTTTTCAAGTTACCTGTGATTCCGCATATTCGCGAAAAATGGTTAAAGGCATGCAACGTAAGGTAAAGCGACTTGCCCAAAGTGCCCTATGTTTGTTCAGCGCACTTCTCAAGAAATGAAATATCCTTAGCAAAGAAAAATGCAAGACTGAGTAGAAGTGCAGCCCCGAAACCGGAACCGGAAAAGTAACCAAATAATAACAGGTTTACATTATTCTAGTAGCTCTCCAGTCCAATAACCATACAAACTCGCGCTGGAATATACAAAAAAATACTCGGAATAGAACATTGAATTAAAAGGTACTCGTAGACTGCCAATCCGATTACTATTAACTGGAACCAGTGTCTTTTTAAATTACTCCAGTTTCTATCCAGTGCTGTTTCGGTTAAATAAACTCGAATGCTACTGGAATCAGGTAAAAACTTAGTACATAAAACCAATTTAATATTTTCCCGTAGTGGTGAACTGGAACAAAACGAAGATTATTTGGATGAATATTTAGAATATCTGGAGGGGTATATTTATGTTAACTATTAATTATTTACGTATGTAAATCAATACATAAATTATTTTTCAAATTTACGTATAAAGAGGTGAAAAAACGGCAGTTGAAGACATTGGTATTTCAAGAAAAATCGTGAGAAGCGCTTATACAAGCATAGCTACCCAAACTGAGTGAGATACAATTTATAGGGATATATGCGTGTATGTATATTTTATATCTTACTTTATTATTTGCCTTAGTGAATCGCTCGATTTGCACCGGCTCAAATGCGTTGAGTTTGAGAAAAAAATTGCTTCCCTTGAGAAGCAAATTGCAGATCTTAAGCTCGAGCTATGCAAGGTTGAAAAGCTAAAGGTTTTTGACAATACTTTAACGTCCTCACGTTATAGCCTGGATGATATATCATATGCAACTTTCATATATGCGGCTGGGCCACGCTGTTATAGGCTATTGCGTAAACTCGAGTTTGCTTTGCCGTCACCGTCAACACTGCGAAGGTGGGCAATGGGAATTTCAATTCATACACCATTTTTCAAGCATCCCTCTGATGAAAAGAAGCTTGTGTTCGTTTTTGCTGACATACCTCACCTAATGAAGCTATTACGTAACCATTTTGTAGACGATGGTTTCTTATATGGTCAAACTGTTTTGAAAAAAAGCGAAATCGAGGAGTTAATAGCTCTATGTAATACGGACTTAAATATAACAAAGACGTTATCGTTAGAAACGTTGAACGTAAGAGGCGCAGGTAAAGATATATACACAAAATACTGTCGTTCTAATACATGTATAGACGGTTTCCTAGACCGTCCGTCCACCCCCTCTAAAATGGAGGGAAATGTTTTTTATTGGAAAACGCAAAATTTGACCTACCAAATCAGAGATGCTCTATCTTTTGGTGGTATTACGGGCTTCCGGTTTCGACTGGAAGTGGGTTAAACTGACCGAAAGTCCATTTTATTAAATTTGACAAACATGTTTTTACTACAGATTCGGATTCTGCGGATGAAAATACGTAACTCTTGTCGGAAACTTTTCTCTGGAATGTACTTCCGGTTAAAAGATTGTACTTCCAGCCTGTTTAACCCACTTCTACATCTCTGTATGGTGCTATGCATTTCCTTCCATACAAAGCATGTTCTTATTTTTTTAACTATATGTATTTTTACAAGAAAATAATTAGATTGCAATAAAAAAATTTGGTCAAAAATTGCAAAAAAAAAACACTGCCATTATTTCTCAAAGAGGTGTTAATGAAATTTTGGTTGACCACAAGTATTTATTTAGTATCTAATACATAATAATGTAAAAAAATATTGTTTACACCTCTTATATTATGTTCTAAAACTGACACCGAAAATACTTTAGTAAACCTTTGCAATTTTTATCAGCACGGCAAAAAGTGAAATATGCCACCAAATTGTTTTCGCATACAACAGCAACAGCCCTTAAACGATGTGCTACACTTGGAATGTGCAAGAGTGCCGTAAAGTTTGTGCAATGCTCAGAGTTATTTAAGCTTATTAACGACTGGTTCGACATTTTCGACTCGAGAACCGCACATAAGGATATGCGTTCCTGCAGCAAGGCGTATGGACTTGCAACTGCCGATCAAAATGCAACGCTGGAGTCGATGAGCAAGATCGTTCCTTATTTATTTCCGAAAAGAGTGAACGGAAATCTCCTTCCGTTTCAACGAGCCATTTTGCAAAACAACAACGCCCTTCCGGCTCTATATAATTATGTTCAACAGCAGTATGGAATTCGTTATATTTTGACAAACAAACTAAATCAGGATTGCTTGGAGAACTTTTTTAGCGCTATAAGAATGAAAGGTGGTCTTCATGATCATCCATCGCCGCTTGAATTCAAGTATAGGTTACGGTCTTATCTTCTCGGTAAAATATATTCTTTTTACAGTTTATTCAGACTTATGTAGCTCATTTTATTTTTTAAGTAAATTTTGAATGTGGACAAATGACAACTTTTTACTCTTGTAGGTCGAAATGAGAATATTTTGTGCTCGGAGGCTAATATAGAGCAAACAAACAACCTTTTATTCAATTTTGGAAGTTTTGAAGACGAAACATTGACGCACAATGTTTTTAAAGACATAAATGAAGTACCTATATCAGAAGAAGAAAGGTTTGAGGTAAATATCCTCTATTTGTAACTTCTTCATATGTACATATGTATATAAAATACATAGACGTTTTAGCTTGCAGAACAGCAAGAAGACAACGACTTTTTAAATCGCATTCCTTCATTAAGTGATATAGAATCCGATGGATTGGAGAACTTCGGCGGCTATATCATATCAAAAATGGGTTTATCTCAATTCGGATGTAGAACGTGTGTCGAAAACAGTCAAAATTTTACATATGTCAACTTACTTTCGGAAGGGGGGTTATATAAACCAAATTCTAAGTTCATGAAAATTTTGGAAACCGCAAAAACAGTGTTTGTTAATATTAATGGATATTTATTATCTACTTCTCCAAATTATATGAAAAATTTACTTCTCAACACAACTGTGGATTGTCAGGAAAAAATTTTAAAACGTTTTTTTCTGGGTAGAACTTACTCAAAAGTTAAGGCAAAACCAAACTGGAAATGTCAGCAAAAAAATTTAAAAAATTACAACTTAAGAAAGCTTAGTTTTAAATAATAATTTCCCATCAAATTAACATAATGTTTTTTTTATGAAATAATGTGCATTTCTGTGTAGATGCATATTTATATTCGCCACCGAAAAAATACGTTATTTTCACCTTGAATTAATTAAGTAGATGGAAATCCAAATACATGATAACAAATGAAAGCCTTTTACTTTTTTGATTGTTTTCTTTTTAAACCCGGCAATAAACCGAAACTCGGTTCATAATGAGCTAAGTTACAGGCTTATAAGTGCGTAAAAAAACGAAAAACCGGTTTTTTAACGGTAAATCAAGATTTTGGGGGTGTTTGGAAAATTTCATATTTCGATTCTGGTTTTGCTCGAAAAGACCTACCAGAAAATATACATAACTTCCCAGGTATTTCTACTTTATGACTTTTTGTAACAATGTGTTATTTTTAAATAGTAAATGTAAATACAACTATTTTATTTATACTCCCAAATTTAGGATATAAAATCCCCTCCACCAAAAAAACTTAAATTGGGTAACGCCGCTTCGAATTTTTTACAAATGGGCAATTGTCATAAATCTCCTTTTTAATCAAAAAGTTGTTTATTGAAACTACCTTCTTTTTTGTATCATGGGTAAAAGTATATCTAATAGCTGCGCCGGGTATTTAATGTTCGGCTCCGCCCGAACTTAGACTTTCTTACTTGTTAACTATAAAGTGAATGCCGGTCCCAGGAGATGTTTCCTTAATTCGGTTGCAAAAATGTTGATGTCAAATAAATTCTTCGTTCTGGTCGGCCGGTCACTAAAAAAGTCGATTTAGAAACTTAACATTTCTTTTTACTTTGCCTTTGTACTGCTCCCTACTTGCTCCTTTGGGCAGCAGCCCATTTTCCTGTATTTTCAAAATACGTTGTGTATGCAAGTTTTTTTTATAAGAGCGATTTCTTCATTAAACGTTTTTTTTTAGTATAAGTAATGTGACCAACTATTTCAAAGCTCAAGTACAGTGTAGTAGTACAGTGGGCCAATTCCTGTTCTGTGAAAACGTGAAGTGAAAACATTTTTCATCACTTCACATAAAATTACGATGCTGTTTTCAAATGTTAATAAATTAAATATTTGTCAATGTTATTGTGGCTTATTAACATTTTATTTTTATGTTTTTATTGAGGTTTGCACCACGATTGTTTCACTGAAAATAAAATCTACGTAAATATATCGAAAACTTGCGTACATTTTACTAAAGTTTTCGTCATTTTGAGCCACGAAAGTTTTCGTTGATTGTACAAAACCGCTTTCGTACATACTACGAAAATATGAGACATCAGATCTTAGTACATTTTACGAACGTATTCGTACTATTTACGAATGAATTTCGTACTACTTACTAAAGAATTTCGTACCATTTCTTTATTTTTTACGAAGTTTTTGTAAAATGCACAAAATAGTTCGTATATTTAACGAAATTATTTTCCTAAAATCTGCGGTTGTTAAGTTGAACTTCCGATTGCTTTCATTCACCACACTTTAATAAACATAAGACGAATTATAACACAACACTTTTATTTTGGTTTTATTCCTAATTTTAAGCGTTTTTCTTTAACAAAATGTTTGGCAATGTTTTTATGTGGAAGTACTTGGCAGATTCGCAGCTTCTTCGATGTATGTTTTCTTTCTCGACTATAAATTGAAGAAAAAATATAAGGCGTCTGAAAGGCAAGTTTCAGTGAAAAATCACACACGTACTTACTTAAAATTTCATTAAGTAGTGCGTCTGTTCCTGGCTTGGGCTTACCGTTGATAGCTAACTGATGAAATTGCCTATTTGCCTGAAGGCTCAGCGTGGGCGATGTTAAAAACATTGTATGCTTAAAAGCATTTATCCACAGCTTTAACATTTAATTTTATATTGTATTTTTATCCAGCAAAAGCTTCTTAAAACTTTTCAGATTACCAACCAGTAGTTTTGCAATGACACGCAGTACATAAAAATATGATGAAATATTAAACTGACGGAAATTTAATATATTGTACGAAAATATTCGTCTGTTGTACGAATTTAAAAAAAATGTTTCTACATTTGTTCTACGTACGAAAGTATTAAGTAAATTGTACAAATACAGAATTGAAGATTTCGTAAATTTTAATACCATACGTAAATATTACGAATGCCTTCGTACAATATACAAAATTATTCGTACAGAGATTTGTTCAGTAATTTACGAATGTGTTTCGTAAAATATTCGTAAGATTTCGAAAATTGTACTGAAAAAAGGCTTAACGAAAGTCCTTTCGTTATATTTACGAATGGATCGTAAAATCTTGTTTCGTTGTGAAAAATGTGTTCGTATTATGAACGAAAGTTTCGTAAATTGTACAAAAACCAAGACTACGAAAGTTTTTCGTAGCACTTTTACGAAATTTAATTTTCAGTGTTATTAGGAGAAATTGAAAAAGCAACAAAGTCTAAGCGGTAGAAGTTATAGCAGCTATTTCGGAGACCACCACAACTCCTCATCAAACTTATTTTTTTCCAGACTTCAGGAGGAATAAATTAATTAATGTTTTCAAAAATGTTTCACTGTGAAAACTTTTTTTCACAAAGTTACGTCGCTGTGAAAAAGAAAAGTTGGGCGCTTTTCTCAAAACCATCATCCTGTGACAACGAATATTATTGTCTTAAACTCACAATAATTTACCAAATAATTACTTGCTATATGTTAACGGAATAGCCTTTAATGATCGAGAATCGCATAAAATGATATATTTATCGAAACGATAAAATGAACAAATTAAATTTTCACTGACATTGAATTTTTCATTATCACTTCACAGTTTCATAGAACCAGATTTGATCCTCAGATTAGG